TACTTTATTTCTGCACATATGAGAGACTTCGGACGGCCGTCCGAAATTTATTCATTTTCTCAGACGGCCGTCTCAACCTTCTGTTAGATTTTTCCCTTCGGAATGGCCATAGAATCAGATGAAATATTCAGACGAAGTCTAAGTTTTTTGTCTTCGGCTGGTTCTCTTTCATTCTTACCCGGTTTTAACCCGTTTACTACCGTTCCATCCTCTAGAGTCTAGACTTCAATTTGCACGTAGAAATTAAACACCCAAGTCATTAAGCACCATTTAATCAATAAAATTTCACTAAAATCCTCATAAAAGAATTTATAAATTGAGTGTACAACCTACAATAGACACAATGGGTAATTGAGCCTGTATCAATTATAATGAGAGCAAATCACTAAATACAATTATGTAACAATGAATTAAAACTAGTGGTTTCAAGTTCAACATTACCTTTGCTATGAAAATAATTATTGTCACAAAACAGAAACAATATGATAATTGAAAAGATGATATATACAGAGCATAAGTATCCATCTAAATTGGTTGGCATATCACAATTTGGCAATATTAAGCAACGCTACATGTCATTTCCATATCAAGACAACCAAACCCCACTCAATTAATAAGTGGCCTAACAGAACTCAAAATTGTATCACAAATCAGCTTCTATTCAAAGCATTGGGAATTATTCAGTCCACCAATTAAAACAAATAATATAAGTAAATGAAAAAAAAAATAAAAGATTTCTTAATCTCATCTTAAAAGGAAAATAAAACAAATAAATTGCAATATAATATTATAAAATTTCATTTACCCTTGAGTCTTTATAGAATCTACTATGCTTCATTTATTTTGTTATTCTTGTTCTTATTGTAGCTTTACTAATTTGCCTTTGCAAAAAGAGTGAAGAACAAAGATGCCAAATTACCCATATAAATTTTACCAGTCGAATGGTACAAGTTAAATGGTACAAGTCGAATAGTTTATTTTTTATTTTGTTTCTCCCTACAATTGATAGAATTTTATTTTAATTTCTAAATTACGAAAATGCAGGAAATAAAACACCAATTATACCACTAAATATGGAAGCGAGTGGCGAATATGGGTAGAAATTGGATAAAACGGTCGATTCGGTAAAAAGATCCGATTCTTGCTGAAGTGAAAAACTAGTTCTTACTTCGCTCCACAAAAAATGTAGAAAAATTAGAAATTGAAATTTTACAATTTGTAATAAAAATCAGTGTTTCCAAATCCAAAAGAATCGGTCAAAACGGTGGAATTCGACAGAATAATTCCAATTTCCAACTATTGTGATGATCATATGGAATCATCAAGTTGGAGAATTAGTAGATTTAATTATTATTATTATTATTATTATTATTATTATTATTATTATTATTATTATTATTATTATTATTATTATTATTATTAGGGCAAATTACGACAACTCCTGAGTTATAGTTAAATTACGAAAATCCTTATTGTGTTTGGGTAATTGTAGCCACCCCTCAACTATGTATTATTTTAGGAAAATTCTCTTCCAAAACCTCTTCAGAGGTAAATTTACCTAACCAAAATTTGGGTACGCCTGCATTTCATACCGTTTACCGAACTGAATATTAGTTCGGTAAATAACCGAATTACATAAATTTTATATAAAAATATTTAAAACGAGGAAGGTGATTATAATTATCCAAACAAGATGAATTTTTCGTAGGTGCCGTAATTTGCCATTACTTTTAACTCTTATTATTATTATTATGGTTATAAAGTTTGAATAGCTTTTGTAGATCTCATCACACCAAATCCAGCTGTAGTTTAGGTGGTACCTGGCTGTGGGCTGTGGCTATGGCTGGCTCTCCATATATTCAACCACACGAATCTTTTATTTATATTTATTAAATACAACAATATTTAATGAAAATTCAATAATAGTGCTAATCACTTATATTTGAGAAAGAAAAAATCGACACTCTATTTGATTAATTTTTAATTTCTAATAAAATCTAGGGTCAGCTTTAGATCTAAAAAAATCATTCAATCAAACAATTTGATTATTTATAATAACGTCACGAGCAAAAAAAAATATATATATATATATGAATATGAGTGTGAATTATTATTGACAAAAAAAGGGGAACAAAAAAATAAAAAATTGTGCACACAGCAAATTATTCAACATAACGAACAGTTTCATCTTCCTGCCTAATTTATCGTATACCAAACACCACCTCTCCAAAAATTAAAAAAAAAATTATAAAAATTAAAAACAAAAAAATAAAAAATAATATAATAACCGGTGAAACGATTTTTGTTTTTTTCCTTCATTCAGCTCCGGCATTGAGTGATGGCGCTGCAGCCGCGGTTGTACGGATTAGCCTGGGCGCCGGGGCGGCAGTTGTAGTAAGACGCGCCGCGCCTCGAGCAGGGCACGCTGTCACTCTCCAGCGCACCGTAGCTGATGAAGCGGCGGGTGGCTAAGATGCGCCGATTGGACTCGGAATCCATCTCGAATTCCTCGTCTTCGTTACCGAGGCACTCGGCGACGGTCCCCTTGCAGCCGGATCTCGCCGACGGCATCACCCACCCCACCGCCGCCGCCGCCGCGTCGCGGTGGTCCCCACCGGCCGACGCTTGGGCGAGTAATAGGGACGCGGTGAAGCAGATCGCGAGTAGGATTTTCCACGCGCCTACCATTTCCCGATCGGTTATTTGCGGCACTGATTTCTGCGAAATCCTTGGCGGATGGGTTGTTTCTCTCTCTAGATTTTCTGTATGTTCTTTTAATTGGCTTGAGTTTAGAGAGAGAAGAAAGGAACAAACAATTTGTAAAGTGGAGTTGGACACTCAAATTTAATTTATATGTGTGGTCGCGGAAAAAACTAAAAAGAAAAGTGGGCTTAATATAATATAATATAATGGGCTAATGCTATTGGTGTATACTACGATAATGCCACTGGAAATTGAAAGGCTTTGGTTTGTATATTTGTAGCTGTTTACAGCTTTTCCACCTTTTTTGTTTTTTTATATAATATATATTTTTTCTTCCATAAAAAAATAAGTAAAAGCGTTGTGGTGCCTAATAAAATGACGATTCTTTTTGAAAACTATGGATATTGAAAATGACCGTTGAAGTGTCTGTCAGCCAGTCAGTCAGAGGTTCCTTCTCATTTCCAAATTAAATGCTCTTTTGTTTTTTTGGCCATAGTGGCTTTTAACTCAAATTTACCATTTCAGTTACTTTTGCTGGTATTTCTTCAATATAATTTTTAAAAGGGGTTATAGCACATTAAAATTGGGGTTTTTGTTACTAAATACCTAATTAATCAATAGAAATGTTTTTGGGTCATTTCCATAAGTTTTTTTTTCAACTCTATATAAACCCTACTTTTATATATGGCTTACAGTTCACTCATTAACCCACTCGATATGCCTGGAATACCTATTTCTCTTTAATACAAAATTATACCAGCTCAATGTATTCCTCTTCAGAACACGTTTTTTTTGTCAAAATGTGCCAAACAAAAACACATTTTTTTGTTATGTTTTTGTCAACCCGCTTTTCAGACTCGACGTTTGGAATACCTGCGTAGAAGAACTGATTGACGACGAGAAAAAAAGAAGAGAGATTATAAAGAGCAAAAAAGGAAGAAGAAGATATACAAAAATACTCCAGACTCGTCTTCAACTTTGAAGTAGAAAAAATACGAAAAATAACTTGCTTTGAAGGTTCGGTTCTTGCTCTGAAACAATTTCATGTTTGTTTGAAAAAATATTGAAACCCAATTTGAAAAACCCTAAAATTACATTAAAAAAAATTGTGCTTTTGTTGCTGAAGTAAAACCCCTTCGCAAAAACGCCTTATTTTTTGGTCGAAAGGAAAGGTTTTGAGTATTTAAGTGGATGGCTGTTCTGATTACAAATGTTTAGTTTGTTGTAAGAGACATGTGCGTTTATACGCAGACCCTTTTAGTCGGCAAAACTTTGTCTTTTTAGTTTTTTGAGTTTGATTATTAGTTTTTAAGTGGTAGTTGTCAAAATTATAGAGCATTTTTGTATTCGAAAGTATTCTGTAGTGTTTAGGTGTGATCCGCCCTAAAACTTCCTTGCCTCCTCGGACGGTCGTCTGTGGAAATAAGCTTACACAACAACTGGGCATGTTTGCACTACAAAGAAAGGAACAGGACTAACGTCGATCAAGTTATTGGAGAAAAAGACACTTTTCAAAGTAGAATTTTTAATAGTATTGTTAGAAGAGATAGATGAACATGCATTTGTACGTGTGTAACCCCCTATTTATAATACTTATTTCCGCATTTTACGCAAGTCCCAAGCGATTAGGTATACTTCCGCCGTTAACCTTGTCGTTTCTCTACACTTCCTGGTAACCCGAGTCATCATCACCTTTGGAACGGCTACAACCGCTCTTCCCAGATTATGAGGACTAGTATTTTCAGCACGTTTCCCCAATATTCGGCGGTCTATAGTCATTCGGGCATTAAATGCAGGTGACAGAACATTTGATGCGCCGATGAGAGCATAAGAGATCTCAATCAATGTCAATTAATACGGCCCCCGTACCTGTCCTAGCCATTAATTCTTAATTCAGGGCCCTCGTGTCCTTGACCCTGAGCGCTGCATTAACCCCAAGCTCCCGGGCACCAATCTTTCCGCCCTCTTCGGCTACTCGACAGAGGACTTTGTCGTGGGTAAAATCTTATATGTGCTTTCCTTATTGGGCTTGTTTGGGCTAATCTCATGGTCCCTTTTCCAAATGGGCCCAGTGAAATTTTATATTATGGGCCGAATTTCTTGTCGGATCAACTAGTCCCCTACTCTGAGGACAGAATATCCGTTGGGTGTACTTGGAGCTCGTAGTATCTAGGGTTTGTTGCCACGTAATTTTGACCACCACGTGGTCCGCTTCTGGCCTCCCGTTCAACCGTCCTTTCCTAGTGTCCTATCGTCTTCCGTCTTTTCGTGTGCTTACCTAGGCAATCGTGACTTAGGCGCGTGATCTCCTTGTTTCCGGTGCCCATTTATTAATGACTCCTTTTCGAATACTCCATCTCCTCCCGTAATACTTTCTTCTTTACCACCTCCCTCTGCTTTTCTCCTATTATCCCTACCACAGTAGTGCGACTCTTCATCACCAGGTACTCTTCCTCTCTCCTTGTCTCTTCTTTGCTTGATTTTCAAAAAGTTTTCCGGTCATGGTTTCCCAAGGCACTTCCGCCTCTTCTTCCGAGAGAATGAACTACCTTCCTCCACCCGTTCTATAGACTTGACCACGGTTCAGTTCTGTTCCGATTCCGATTTTGAATGAAACGGAACCGAACCGAATATTTACTGCTCGAAAACCGTCGATTCCAGTTCCTGTTCGGTTCCAGTTCTAACCGGCGGTCAACCGGTTCTGAACCTTTTTTTTTTCTTTTATTCGGGAAAAGAACACTTGAAATATTTTAAATACTTGAAAAAACTTTTGAAAAAATTATTGTAGACACTTGAAACAAAATACTTATTCTTGAAGTCAAATTTTAAAAATACTTTAAAATATATTTTTGTGCTTTCAAAAAATTAGAAGGAATTAATTGTAGTTTTAAAAACTAAAAAAGGAAAAGGAAAGAAATTAAAAGGGTTTGCTCTTAATTTTTAAATCTTAAATTTCAATTTAAACATACTAAATTATTAGTTCGATAATTTAATATTTCGCTAAATTAATAGAATTTTGCTAGTCCCAATTCTATTAATTTATAGAGGTTTAATATCTTGATGAGTATTTTGGCTTTATCAGAACACAAGAGAGGTTGCGAGGCTCAATGAAGAAAACTGGGGACAAGAATGGAACCTCGATTCCAATAGTCGTCAGCGTACGTACAAGATTAATCCAATAGTTGGACCGCTTGACGGCTTGTTCTGATGAAATTGTTATAGGGGAAATAAATTCTTGAATTTCTTTAGTCATAGGTAAAAATTCGAAGGATTTTGTTGTTGTTTTTTCCCCCCAAATATTCAAGAAATGTGAACTGGTAAAGAAAAATCAATGTTTGAGATTATTTTTTGGTTAACTGTATTACTTCTACCCAATGTGGATTATGTTTTGCCAGCAGCTAAATTTTCGATAATGAAGCATGAGAATTGGCCGGACAAAACTATAAAGATAGTAAAAGAGGAACATGACATTATTCAACCAGACTTACAAGTGTACAAAAAATTTACAGAAAGAAGAAAAAAATATCGAAAAAGTCAACGCCGGGAACCAGCGAAAAAATCCGGAAGAAAAAAAAAATTTGAAAAGTCAAATTGAGGTTAAATTAAGTTAAGGATGAAATTGGAGCATATTAAAGTATGAGGGGCTATTTTAGTCTTTTACAAAAATCTGGATCATGTGTGGACTTATTGGTAAAAAAATTTTTGTCTGGATCTCTTTATGAATAATGAAATGATTTACGCGCACCAAAATTACGAATGTCGTTCGCAATAGTCTTCTCTTTTTGGCCGTGGAAAATTAGTTTGGGCGTCCGGTCCAGACGCCGGTTCTCGACCGGTCGTCCGGTTCAATTTTTTTTTTTTGCACAGTATAAACAAAATGATCTATTATATTTAAATAAGAATTAGTTAATAAACTCTCTTTAGCCTAGTTGGTGAGGTGTCTTGTCATTAAACTATACATCCGTGGTCGAGTCTTGGCATCAGCGCATATATATGAATTTTTTGTCCAGTATAATGGAAAGAATAACTATAATTAAATAAATATTTGTTATCAAAATAGTTGTAGCCTAGTTGTTAGGATAGTTGGTAATTCCCCAATAAGGACCCGTGTTTGAATTCTTGTAGCAGCATAAATATGTAATTTTTTTTATTAAAACTCAGTTCCTGCGCGCGCCCAAGCCGGGCGCGGAAAGCTGTGTTGCGCGTCCAAACCGGGCGTGAATCGGGATTTTTAGCGCCCAATTTGGTCGTGAGTCGCGTTTTCGCGATTTATAGAACCAAAACGAACAAATTTTACTTCATTGAGTTCCGTATCTCGATCCTCATTCGATGCACTCATTTTTCTTTTCAAATCGCTACAATAACATGAGTTTTGGACCGATTTCTAATATAAAAACTATTAAAAGTAAAATTGTAGAGAGAGAAAGATAGGTAAAGAGTGGATTTTTTAAACTCGCATTCGTAATTTTGCTACCGCGAATATCACCTCCCTTATGAATAAGTATCCATTGATGGGCTTATTTGTATTGACCCTAAAAAGTAATTAAAAAATAAATGAAAAAGTCAATGCCAGAGACCGGTGTTGACAGGAGGTCAACGCTGGAAACAGGTGAAAAAATAAAGAGACAAGAAAAACAAAAGTCAATGGCGACGATGGGTGAAATTGTACTCAAAATTGAATTTTATGTCAAAATTGAATAATTTATGAAATTTAGGGTCAAATTGAGGTTAAATTAAATTAAATGATGAAATTGAAACATATAAAAATGTGAAAGAGTATTTTAGGCTTTTACACATCTCTCGACAATATATAGACTTTTTTATAAAAGAATTTTTTGTCTGACCCATTTTATGAATAAGTTTGCCATGTTGGGCTTATTTGTTATTGATGCTTTTGTTTATGCACAAATAATTTAATTTAACTATATTAAATTTGTTGATAAAGGGATGTACACTATATTCCTCTAATAAAATGAATCCCCATCTATAGTTCACAATAAGGTGTGTAGCCAATTTCGACTTATTTCATTGACATAAATTCATGCAATTTATTATTGATTAAGATAATATTTTTTTTAGTCAATTTTTGAATAAAATCTACTGCAGAATATAATTACTTCACCGGTTTTACATTTTCGAAAGATAGATGACAGAAGAATTTTAGGAAACAGATCCAGAATTAGATACTAACTAAATCTAAAGTAATGAAAGCTTTGCGTCGTCTGATACTTTAACCGGTTTTACATTTTCGGAAGATAGATGAAAAAAGAATTTTACTATCCAAAATTATATACTAACTAAATCTTAAGCAATGAAAGCTCTGCATCATCTGATTCTTTCACGTAACCTCCTTCATAATAGACCAAAGCATCAAACAAACATATTACATGCTACTCTTCCGTATCCTTCATCGCCCCAGTTGGGGCCATTGGAGTTTTTTATCCAATAGAATGACATGCCATCCATAATCCCCCATCCTACTACCAAGACCGCGTGTCTATCCATCATTTCTAATTCAAGTTTGGAATAGACATTGTTGGCAACATATATCCCCTATAAATAAAAAACAAAGAAAACAAAAAGGTTAAATTATCTTATTTATAATTAAAAAAAATTATGAGACATCAATAACTAATTTACCTTTCCATCCCATTTTGAGAATTTTGCTTTCGTTGTAATTAGACACGGCCATGGGCCGGTTTTTGGCCCGAACCGGCCCATTGACTGGTGAACCGGTCTCGGAACCGTGAACCGGCCCGTGTCCCTGGGCCGGGCCCGGTTCTTGTAGGTGAACCGTGAACCGTCGGGCCGGCCCGGCGGTTCACTCGAAATTAAAAGAAAAAAAAAAGCTGAAAAAGCTTAAAAAACTTGACCCGGCCCAGTGAACCGGCCGTTATTTATTTTTTTTTGAAAATTTTTCCCCCCATTTTTTCCGATAAATACCCTCACACCCATTTTTTCCTATAAAATTAAGTTCAAATCATTTTATTTATTTTCTTTTGTGTTTTTCATATTTAAAAGTAATTCTTTTAATTTATTTATCCATCAAGTATTTTCAATATATATATAAATTATCGGGCTGACCCAGAACTGGAGTGAACCGTATGTAGTACGGGCCGGTTCCGGTTCCGGAAAAAATGAACCGTGAACCGGCCCAAACCGGCCCATGGCCGTGTCTAGCTGTAATACCCCCGGCTATTGGCTGTTTGAATAAGATCGTCTTTACATGATCAAGTGAGCTATCAGTGATCCGCACAACTTTGTCCACATAAATTCTTGGAAACTTATACTACATAAGTGAATAAAAAAAAGAATTTAAATCACTTCAAGAAGGGGATAGTATGAATAATAAATGTAACAACTTACATCAAACGGTTTTTTGATGGATCCCTTACAAGCCATGAATGGATGTACTGTTTCTACAGCAGTACCATGCTTCTTATGTTTCTACAGCAGTACCATGCTTCTTAATGAACAAAAGCCCCCATCCGGGATGACACGTTTGACATCCCATTTCATCCTCTGATGAAGTTAGGTGGCCAGGTTACATTACCGGGAACCGGTCAATTAAGTCTTGTGATCCTGCCTCCCAGCTTTGAAACTTCATTTCACTCATCCGTAGTGCATGATTAGCTAGTGCTGCTGCAACAAGGGCCCAGGAGCACCCTACAGTTAAATAACATCAACAACTCAAGATTTTTCAACAATTTATAGATAACAAAAATCAGAAAGGTATTTGAACAGCATATAGAAACGAGATTACTTACTGCAAGTTTTTTGATCCACTTGCTAAACTCCTGTGGCAAGCCAACAATATTCTTTCCACAATAACTAGACGAATCAACATACGCTGCAGCATGTGCAGATGAAGCTGGAGCAACTGGATTGACTTTAATTTTGCGCACCTGAGCCTTCTTTACATACTGCAAGAGATAAAAATTATAAGTCAATCATGTTATTCATCCTCATCCAGGCAAGTCCAGTCACAACAGTCTGGTCGAATCAAATATAACAAACAAACAAAAAAGACGCAAAACACTGCTTTTCCAATAGAAATACATAATGTTTCCACTTGATCTTTGATAATGTCAAGAATATCTTCATCAACCAAGTATTGTCTGAGGCTCGAAAGAAAAGCAAACCGCTCACACAAATTGAGCAATGGTCGAGGATCGGGAAGTTTTTCTTCTAGGATAAATTTCATAACCCTGTCAGGTTCATAGAAGTTTGATTGTTTTGTGACGCTGTCAAGCTCTTCAAAATTTCCGGTCTTTGCAGCTGCCTCTATGTACTTGAAGTGAATCTCAGGATCCTGACTGCAAGACACCAATAATGTGTGTATTAGGACATGTACATACGTTATGCACGAAACTGATCATCCTAAGATAGTTACAAGTCCGGTCAGATTACCTGGAGCTCAAACATGATCCCAAATAGAGGTACAGTCCTTCATACGACGGAAACTTCTCAAAGAGCTTAATGCATTTATGAGTGCTAAACCTATGGGAATGCTTGGCAAGCTACATAAAGTTCAGTAGCCGATAATTGAACTGTTGTAACTCCAAATGATTGATAAGAAATCATTTTCATATTTCCAAGTGTATGATTCGTGTAAGGAAGTACTGAATCCTTACCTCAACAACTATCTCAGAAAGAAGTACTTGAACCTCGAGTGAAGAGAGAATAATCAGATTGAGACTGAGTGAAACCAAGAGCAGTGATAGCATCTGTAAATTTCTGATTCCATTGTCTGGAAGCTTGCTTGAGGCCATACAAAGACTTTTGTAACCGACATACTAATTTAGTACCAGAAGTGTGAGGAAATTTGGATTCATAAACCTAAGGCAGATCCATATAGACTTCTTCATGTAAATCTCCATTGAGAAAAGCATTGTTAACATCTAACTGGTGGAGCTCCCACTGAAACTTGGCAGCTAAAGCTAAAAGAATCTTGACAGAAACAAGTTTAGCAATAGGTGAAAAAGTCTCAGTGTAATCTACGCCCTCTTGTTGTGTAAAACCCCTTGCAACTAAACGAGCCTTGTACATATCAATAGTACCATCTTGCTTTCTTTTCAATTTGTACACCTACTTACAAGTAATGGAATGTTTATCAAAGGGCAAAGAAACCACTTGCCAAGTATTATTGGCTTCAAGAGCCTGGATTTCCTCAGACATGGCCTGAATCTAAGAAGGATTCTGAATGGCATGCTTGTAAGATGAAGGTTCTGTGTCAGCAGAGATGTTGGAAGTATATGCAAAGAAAGAATCAGAAATATTGGAATAACCAAGAACATTATAAACGGGATATTTGGAAGTAGAAGGAAGCTTGGAGTTGACTTGAAAATCAGAAAGATAGGCAATAATTTTGATATGCCTGGAAGACTTTCTAACAAGAGGTGGTGAAGAAACAGAAACTGGAAGAGAAGAGGGAACAGTAGTAGGAGGATATGACTCATAAGACACAGAGGTAGAAGAATGATCAAAAGAAGGCAAAACAGACTCATCACTGTCCAAATGAAACTGAGTGGAAGCAAAAGGAAAAATATCTTCATGAAAAACAACATCTCTGGAAATGAAAACTTCTTGAGAGTGTATATCTAACAACTTATAATCTTTAATACCTAGGGGATAACCAAGAAAAATTCAAAGCCTTGCTCTGGAATCAAACTTTGTCCTACCAGCAGCTAAAGTTCATGCAAAAGCTAAACAACCAAACACTTTGAAAGTATCATAGTTCACAGAAGTGGTGGGATATAACATAGAAAAAGGAGTACAATTACTGAGGTTATGCGCTGGAACCCTAACAGCTGTCAAAACACACTCAGACCAAAATTTAATGGGCACCTTGGATTGAAAAAACAAGGCTCTGGCAACATTTAAAATGTGTTGGTGTTTCCTTTCCACCACTGAATTTTGTTGAGGTGTTTGAACACAAGAAAATTGGTGTAAAGCCCCTTGTTGAGCAAAAAAACATTTAAAAGACAATTCATTAGCATTATCAGACCTAAAAACCTTAATAGTTTTGCCAAACTGAGTTTGAACCCCAAGCAAAAAACTAAGGAATAATAGCAAGAACATCAGACTTGTTCTTCAATAAATGAATCCAGGTGAACTTGGAAAAAATATCCACAATAGTCACAAAGTATTTAAAACCATCATAAGAAGCCACTTTATAAGGTCCCCATATATCACAATGTACAAATCAACAGGAGCAATAGACTGAGAAGAACTTACAAGGAATGGCAACCTTTTAAACTTGGCCAAAGAACAAACATGACAACATGTAGAATTCAATACAGTAGGCAAAGAAATACAGTCTTTCAAAATAGCTAATTTGGAAAAAGGAAGATGACCAAGCCTATTATGCCAGGTCTGAGAAGAAACTGAGACTTTATTACAAGAAATTTGAGTAGAGGAATAAGGAGCAGACAAAACAGGCTCCAAGACATATAAGCCTTGCAATCTTTTACCCATACCAATCATTTGCATCAGCTTGTCCTGAATCACAAATGATTGAAACCCAAAAGTGATAAACTCATGAGGTTTAGATAAAAGAGCACTAACAGAAAGCAAATTGAATTGAAACTCAGGGACATAAAAAACATTATGCAAGGAAAGAGAAGGAGCTAACTGAACATCACCTACAAAAGCCACATGCAAACATGACTTATCTGGCAAAATAACCTTAGTATTATGAGCAGGAATAAGATGCAAAAACAGAGACCTATTATTGCATATGTGCTTAGAAGCACCTGAATCAACAACCCAATGAAAAGGCATAACCATGGGATTCATGATGGTATTAGCATAAATGGTACCTGTCACACAGGAGATGTGAGAGTCATCCTGTGGTGGAACAACAGAAGAAGGAACTGAGCTAGATTGTTGAGCCATTCGCTGAGAAACATAAGCTAAAATCTGCTGACATTGAGCTGATGTCATGGCTGAATGCTCCCGAGAAGATGATGCTTCACCCTGAACATCAAGATGAGAATTAGAAGTGAAAATTTGATTAATGCCAAATCTACCTGAAGGAGCAGCCAATCTTGGTCGAGGCTGGAAACCAGAGGATTGATATCCAGGTGGAAAACCATGACTCTTGTAGCACTTGTCCATTGTGTGACCATACTTATTACAGTGAGTGCAAAAATCTCTGCCCTGCTTTTTATCACCAGCATGATAATACTATTGTTCTGATGAGGAACTGGAGCAGAAGGTCTGAAAATTTGTGAAACCGGAGCACCTCTTACAACAAAGGTGAGATAATTATGCCCTTCAATACTTTGCCCAACAGATCTCTGTCGCTCTTCTTGAGAAACTAGAGCAAAAACTTTGTTAATGTGTGGAAGAGGATCCATAAGAAGAATCTGACCTCGAGTCTGAGAGAATGACTCATTTAGCCCAATAAGAAAAGCCATAACCTGCTCTTGATTATAGTAATCAACCAACAAACCACAAGTACAGTTTGGGCGAAAATTGACCAATTCATCCCAAATTGCCTTCATCTTTGTAAAATAAACATTGACAGAGAACTGCTCTTGCCTGAGATTGGCCAATTAACTACGTAATTGAAAAATTTTGGGGCCATTGGTTTGAGAAAACCGCACATTCAAATCATTCCAAATTTCACGAGCAGTTTTAGAATACATCACACTAGCTTGAATGTCTTTAGAGATAGCGTTTAAAATCCAAGACATAACCATACCATTATTGCAAACCCAGGCGTTATGAAGAACAGGATCATCCTCAGGGGGTTCAACAATGGATCCATCCATAAAACCTAGCTTGTTCTTCACAGTAAGAGATAAAACCATCGCACGACTCCAAGAGGCAAAGTTATCTTCAGAGGGAGCTTGCGAAACAAGAACGAGACCAGGTCCATCAGAAGGATGTAAAAAATACGAACTCGAAACATCTTCGATTTGGGCGCGAGCTGTACGATTCGCCATTAGAACGAAATTGCGGAAAATTAACTGGAATCGAGAACGAAAACGAACAAAATAGAACGGAAGCGAAGAAGAAGCGTATAAAAATCTCAAACTGATACCATGTTAAATTGAAGAATTTTACAAGGAGATAGAAAACTCCATTGTTGCAGAAGGAGGGAGAGTTTGTTACAGAGAGAGAAAGAGAAACTAATTTTTATAAAAGTGAATTAATTAACCAACGGTAACAAAGAGTTGGTTTATATACATTCTTTTACACGTGTAAAAGAGAACACGCTATTTACTAAACTAATAAGACGCTAATAGCATATAACACTTTTATCTGTGTTATAGCAAAAATAAAATTGTAAATATGAATATTCCAACAGAATTCGATCCAAGATGTCAGAAACAATAAACAAAATTGCAGGCGATTGGGCTTAGAACATGCGGGGAGAAATTATTTTAGGCCAAATATTTTTTTGGAAAAAAATTTACAAATAGATGAAATTATAAAATTAAAAAAAAAAATAATTAAGGTAAGGTTGGATAATTTCTATGCTACACCAGGGTAATTTTTTTTTACCGGTGATCTACACATAACAATGTAAATGTATATGAATGATAAAGATCTAGCCAATGATAGAATAGATCGAGAAAGGTTGGGAAGGAACGGAAAAATCTGCCCGGGGCCACTTCTTCTCTCCCTCTCTCTTTGCCAACACAGGGCCAATTGGAGAGGTATTTAATGGGCTGGAATTTGAAATTGGGTTAGCCTATCACTGGCATTCATGTGAATTCAAACTCGACCTTTTTTTCCCTTCTTTTCTTTTTTGCTTTTCAATTTTGTTTCATCATAATCATTTATATTCATCAAGCGATTATGCATGAAAATTTCAACTTCTCAACGTTTTTCGGAAACTCGAAGACACCTGCTAGACGTTTTATAGGCCATTTTTTGCAATAAAAAGTATGAAACATGTTTCAATAGCAAGTTTTTAAATATTATTTCTTAAATTATTACATAATTTAATGATGAATTGCAAATTAAAACCGCTCATGATTACATTTCATTCATGTCTTATTCTATTTATGTTAAAAAGTAATACCAATAAAAAAGAATAAATGATGAATAAAAAAAAAGGAAAATATTTGACTTCTTAACATGGAAAAATTAAATTTAAAATTTCTGCAAGTAAAGAGCATAAAAGACAATTAGAGGGATTAAATACCAAATTGCATGTTGCCGAATAAGGTGTCAAATGGTTATTAATTAGAAATAGTTAAACTTGTTATAGAATATTATATATTATATATTGAGAGTGTTTAATGTAATATAACAAAAATGTGCAAATTGTGTAAACGAGAGAGAGTGAGATTTATTTTCTAATAAAAGCTATGTCTATATCACAAGCTCAACTCAACTATTTATACAAGGAAATATTGGAGCCTTGTCATGCTAATGAAACATGCAGTAAGTCTACACGCTACAGCCTACACGTATCATCAAGCAGCTTATTCAATACTTAGTGCATAAGCAAAGTCTATATTATTATAACACTCACCCTTAGACTAAGTATTATCGGTAGCGGCTGCAAATTGGATGAGTAAGATATATGTATGCCTCGTTAGAAACCTCAAGATGGAAAACCCATTGGGACAAAACCGGTCAGAAGGGAAAAATAGTGCATACTTCAATCCAAACCGTGTGCATAAGCTGCCTCATTAAAAACCTTTGCTGGAAAACCCAATGGGACAAAACCAGTCAAAAGGGAAAAAGAGTGTAGCGCACTACTGCTCCTCCTGAAATGATCGCACTGTAAACCTTTGGGGTGAGCCATCAATCTTGCTCCATATCGGCTCTTCTCATTCCAATGTCGTATACCAATTTCTCATATGTAGAAGCCGAGAAGGACTTGGTTCGATCGCCTTGTATGTATATGTACTATATAATCAACATTATCATGTTATTGGGCATACTTGTTTGGTAAATCAACAAGATGTACCTGCAACATTACAAAACTGTGAGTCATTATTCACTGTAATAATCATCGTAGACAATCTATTGATCAATTAAGAATATAAATATATTATCTATGATTATCTCATTTGTATGCCATATATTTCATTGAAATAACTTGTGAAATTTCTGGTATTCTCGAGATTGAATATCACTTTTTCGATATCAGGCTCAATAGATTCATGTGAAGCATATTCACTAGGAACCGCCTCATTTGAGGGTTCATTGATTTTCCTCTTTCTTTTTCTAACAACGTCCTTTGATCCAATAGGTCTATCCCGCTTTTGTCGTGGGGGATCATCACTCATTTTCTTATGTTCTCCAGGAACAGCGATCCTAGCTGGCATATTCACAGTTGGAATATAAGATTTCGTGACTTTACTGGCATCATTAAATGCATCAGAAAGTCTATTGACAATATTTTGTAAACGAATGACTCTATAGATTTCATTTTCACATTCAAAGGTACGTGGGTCTAGATAAGATAAATGTTGTTCACACCATGTGAGATTCTCGATTGGTTTTTGTTTATCATTATCACGGATATTATGAATATCCTTACCAATAGGTATAAATAATATCTCATCAAAGTGACAATCCGCAAATCTAGCGGTAAATAAATCACCCGTCAGTGCTTCCAAGAACCTAGTAATTGACGGTGAATCAAATCCAACGTATATGCCAAGTCGGCGTTGGGGAACCATTTTAGTCCTATGAGGAGGAGGAATTGGCACTTTCACAGCGCAACCAAATGTGCGAATGTGCGAAATATCGGGTTCAAAGCCCAATGTCAATTGCATTGGGGAATGCATATGATAAGCAGTGGGGCGCAATTTAATCAGTGTTGATGCATGCAATACTGCATGGCCCCATGCTGCACTACTGAGTTTTGATATCATCGGCAAAGTACGAGCAATTATTTGAACACGTTTAATCAAAGATTCCGCCAGTCCATTTTGAGTGTGAACATGTGCTACTGGGTGCTCGATATTTATTCTCAAAGCTGGACAATAATATGTGCCAGCAAACGCGAAAATGCTATATTTCGCGTAGTACCAGTAGGCAACATAATTGTTGCTATCCCGAAGCCATTTATTATCTCCACGGGATATGATATGATTTAAATTTGTGCCTTACACAATGTTACACTCGAGAAATATATTTATTTTATTAAATATTGAGTGTGTAATTGCACTATCTCAGTAGACAAGAGTCATATGTCATATTTATCCATGTTTTTCATGTACGCGTGATCGACCTCAGGAAATTATCATCCAAAGGAGATATGTACATGTTTGTATACTTAAAATAACTCAATCTTGGGAATCATATTGTCCAAGCAAGATTATACATGGATACACTCAAGATAACTCAATCTCGAGAATCACACATTTCGAGAGAGATTATATATGTGGGTTCAAAATAACCCAAAATCCTTTTATCTGGGATTGTGATTAATAGTTTCTAAGTTGGCTTTTGACGGGTTTTACACGTCTAGTGACTCTGCAAGCTTCAAGCTTAGAGCTATTTTCAGATCTTTGGCCTTTAAATCTGCTTTTGACGGATATTACCACGTCTTGACTCAACGAGCTTCAGACTCGGAGTTATATTTATGATTGCCTCTAAATTGACTTTCTTGTCTCAACGAGTTTAGACTCGGATTTATATTAAAGATATAGCGCCTAAATCGGCTTTCTTGTCTCAACGAGTTAAAACTCGGCGTTATATTAAAGATTTAGCCTCTAAATCGGCTTTCTTGACTCAACGAGCTTAGACTCGGAGCTATATTTCATTTACGTGACGGGAATTCCAACGTCTTGACTCAACGAGTTTTAGGCTCGGAGTTATATTTATGATTTAGCCTCTAAATCGGCTTTAAATGGAGATTATTATTTTTCCAACTCCACGAGCTTTGTGCTCGAAGTTAAATATCATAGTCTCTAAATCGATCTTCAACTGTGATTATAATATCTTGGCCTCTAAATCGGTCCACAGATCTGTTAAAATTAGCACGTGCTTATAGCACTGCTTGGAATCCACAAGCTTAATTGCAAATATAAATTTCAGCAGCAATTCAACAAATAAATAAGCAATAAATTAATATACACGAATCCATCATATCCTTTGAGAAATGATAGCGATAAAATACCGAAGTATTCGCTCATTCTCATTTGTCTTTTCGACAATAGTATCGGGGATCTGGATTTTCGTAAAATAAAATAGAAAGAAAAATACAAAAAAATCCCTATCAAACAAAACCTCGTGCTGATAACGTGTTATAGAATATTATATATTATATATTGAGAGTGCTTATTGTAATATAACAAAAAGGGGCAGATTGTGTAAACGGGACAGTGAGATTTATTTGCTAATAAAAGCTATGTCTATATCACAAGCTCAACTCAACTATTTATATAAGGAAATATTGGAGCCTTATCATGCTAATGAAACATGCATTAAGTCTACAAGCTACACGTATCATCAAGCAGCTTATTCAATACTTAGTGCATAAGCAAAGTCTATATTATTATAACAAAATTGGTTTTATATCTAATTATCATATAAGGGCTATTTGATAAACATCCCTCCTTGCATTTTGGTTCCTTGATAAATCCAATTTTAGGAGTTGATATTTGCTATAAATCCAATCAATCTAAAATATCCTATATGCCCCAATTAATTATACCAAAAAATTAAAAAATAAATTATGTTGATATATTCAAATCCTGCCCCTAATCTATACTCAAATTTCCTCCAAAAATTATGGCCTCAAATCACGCTCCAAAATTTATGCCCCAAATAACGCTCCCAGATCAACTCGAAAATCTCGTTTTTATTTTAGATTTTTTCATAAGAAGACTTTGATTTTGTTTTTTAAAAAAATATTTTTTGTTTTTTAATTTCGATATTTTATTTTTTATTCTTCTGTTTTCTACAGTTAAATTTTCAAAAAAAAAAAAAATTAACAAATTAAAATCCAATATAAACTTGCCAAAAACCACTATGGGATTATAGTATTCCGTTAAGAAAATTCATTATAAACTTATTGAAATCACTATGTAATTAATAAAAACAACTCTGTAATTAATGAAAATCACTCTGTAATTAATGAAAATCACTATGTAGTTAACGAATTTCATTACAAAAATCCACTATAAATTTATCAAAAACCACTACATAATATTATAACCAGGTGACAACAAAGTAGAGAATTTCGCACCACAAAGATCACAAGGGTCTGTTTCATTGTTTTTTCTAACATAAAAATATACAAAGAACATCATACACCACCAATGTCGAAAACATACCCTGTTAGAAAATTAAATCGTAACATATATGAGAAGCAAAGAAAAATAAATAAATAAATTAGAAAATCAAACTTCTCCTAATGGAAATAATAACATATATGAATATAAAAAAATCAAGCACTCGAATGGACTTGTTGAGCCTAACACCAAACCAACATTCTAATTTATTTTGTATTAGATTGAGGAAAAAAATGTATGATTATATGATATTCTGGTTTTAATTAATTCAACATACAGTAGTTTTTTTGGGTTTTTTATTCTGTATTATGAGAGATAGATGGCTACTGGGAGAGGAGAGAGGTGGCGTGGGTTCTAGGCGGAGATTAAGGACCGAGAGTTGTGGGGTTTTAATTATGAAAAATATTTTAAGTTATGTATTCCTAAGCCTAAGATAGGTTTTGGATTAGTATAAGGGTATAATTATTTTTAATTCATTAAAAATGATTTGGATTTATTTTAAAATCTAGAAAAAAAATGGACTCCTTGTCAATGCACATCATATATAACTAGGGGGTTTTATCAAATAATCCCTATCATATGTTATTTTCTAAATGGACATTGAGGTGGTTACTACCATTCGATTTTCTTTTTTGATACAACGTAGTTTTTACATCTCGAAAGGTAAAATACAAAATAAATCTCATTTGACAACTGCACTTGGGGGTGAACATATACCCCCCAAATCCGACCCGCCCACCTGACCTGACCCGATCCACCCATAAACTGCCAGTTTTGCTTATTAAAATAATAGTAGCAATTTATATTATGAAAACCCGACTACAACGGGTTGGTTGTCGGGTTTACTTGTTCACCCGCTCATAACCCGACATGCCCCCATGCATCATATGTTTAAGTATATATTTTATTTATTTTTATGTTAAAATATCAAGTAAATCTAGGGTTTTCTCTCACCTCTTCTCCTTTTCCGTTTCCGTAGACTGTTAATCTTGTACAAAGTTTACCAAGTAATTGCCTTTTTCATTTCTCTAGAAAATTCTTGCTGATGGTTTCATAATTTTAGCAAATTTTGATTATAGCAAATTCGAACAACTTGTAAGTTTTTCTAATGAATAAAGAAGCGTGAACACATATAGCTGGAAAGAGTTGAGGGGGAGGAAATGAGAGATTGCAGAGAAAGTGAATGGGGAGAAGGGAGAGAGGTAGAACAAGAAAATGGGAGATGAGAGAAAGTGAGGAGTAGATGCGTGAGATGGGGGCAGAGTGAACAAAAAATGAGGTAGGATTTTTTGATTTTTGGAAATTATTAAACCCGCCCCCCGACAAACCCGACAAACGTAATTTGGCAGGTGTGGGTTGGAATTTTGTAACCCGCCAACTGTTGGGTAGGATTGAATTTTTCTATAAACCCGCCCGTGTTCATCCCTAACTGCATTAGTATTGGAGTTAAAAAATTACATTTTAAGTATGAAAATAGTGATTAAATATTTTTATACCCCATTTAATAACTCAATCGAAATTGCTCTTATTTACCCGTATATTTTCAAAATCTGATGTTAAGATGAAGAATATTAGGGTCCATTTCAAATTCCTTCATCAAATCAATTACTTTCAATGAGAAATTTGGAGAAGGGATTTAACAAATCATTTGGAATTGTTTGGATCGGTGGATTTGACAAGAATTTCTAATTAACACACCTCATTTTTTCTATTATTTTTGGAGCAATTGTAGTGGATTTTAAATAACTCCAAATTTGTGTCATTTCAAATCTTTACCCAAAATCTCTTCCGCAAATTAAATCCGTGAATTTGAATGGAGATTTGGTTTGGGGACGTAATTTGAAATGACTCCAATTTGAAGTCATTTGAAATCCACCGTATTTGCTAAAAAAAATAAAAAAGGGGAAGCGTTGATATGAAATTCATCCCCAACTTCTTCAATCCAAATAATTTCAAGAAATTTGTAATTATGAATTTGAAAACACTCCTCCAAATATCCAAATTCTCCAATTTGAAGAGATGATGAAAGTAAAATACTAAAATAATGAAATTTAAATATCCCATCCAATCCAAAGAAAAATGAGAGAAGAAAAAAAAAAAAAAAAACAAAATAGGGGGAAATACCGTTGAGACGTGTGCGTAGCGTGACGCGCCGCATCCGGGAGCCTTAACCCGCGAGTAGTAAATGTTCTAGAAGAAACAAAAGAAAACCCTTTTCTTAACATACAAGACTTCACATTCAAACGCTTTTCTCTCATCTGCCTCGAACGCCGTGCCACCCCACCCCCACCCCCACGCCCACCCCCCCCTTTGACCGACTATAAATAAAGACCTATAAATAGTCACAAGAAAAGCGAGAAACAATATACCACCATCACCACCAGTATTACTATTTTCCATAAACGTTTACTTTTTCCTTCCCCGCTTATATATTCCAAATTCAGCCTCCATTAAACGAACGAAGAAACAAGGGTTTCTAGAGAGAGAAAGAAAAAACCAAAAAAGCAAGCAATTAATCTTTTTTATTTCTTTTGATTGGATTGATATGGCGGAAGTAGTAGACTCCAACAACACCCAACGACCCCTTCTCGTAAGAAATTAATCCCCACCTTAATTTTTCCCCCTTTTATTTTTTTTTTTTGTTAATTTTTCCGATTTTTGGATTGATTTGTTTTTTAATTTATTATTATGAATTGATTATTGAAGGCGGGGAGCGATGAAGAGCAGAGGCTGAAATACTTTGAATTCGTCCAAGTTGCGACGCTCCATGCTTTGATGTGCGCGGCGAAACTGTACGCTTACGCGAAGGAGAATTCGGGCCCTCTTAAGCCCGGCGTTCACACCGTCGAGGGCACCGTTAAAACCGTCGTCGGCCCCGTTTACGATAAATTTCACGGCGTCCCCATCGAACTTCTCAAATTCGTCGATCGCAAGGTATTTTTTATATATATATTATTTCCCTCTTCTGATTAAGATGTTGGATTTACCTTGTTGAGTGGATGGATTGATTGATTCAAATTTTTGTTTGTCACGAGTATTGATTTTTTTTTTCTTTTTATGTTGATTGATTCGCGAATTAATTTATATCTACATAGATTTTATTTGAATTAATCGTGGGATCAAATGTTCTCTTTTATCCAAATTACTGTCTTCAATCCAATTCTTCGATCAGGTTTATGAATGTTTTGCTATAATCGCGTTTATTTTGCTGGCAGAAAAAAATGAAGATCGTGATTAATGGTTTTTTGATTGAATTTTTTTGGGGTCGAATAATGTATATATTATATATTATATATGTATAAGTATCCCCATTAGTCATTACAATGAAGCATTTCTGTTCGATCGAGTCTCTTTTGTGCATAAAGTTATCATTTTTCGCGGTGATCGCATCTTGTATGGTGGGTCGAGTCTCTTGTGCGTATTGACTTTGTATAGCTGATCCCCTTTTAGTGATATGCTAGGGAATTTTTGTCGATAATTGCATTGTACTTTCGGGAAATTGTATTGCGTTAAACATATCTGATTGTAATTACAGGTGGACGAGTCGATGAACAAAGTGCAAAGCCGTGTACCCCCAACTCTGAAGCACGTGTCGTCCCAGGCCTTTGAAACAGCCCAGAAAGCACCGGAAGCAGCCCGCTCGGTCATGACAGAGGTGAAGAACACCGGTGTGGTGGGGACCGCCTCGGGCCTCGCGAAGACGGTGTACGCAAAGTACGAGCCGGCCGCCAAGGACCTCTACACAAAGTACGAACCGGTGGCGGAGCAGTACGCAGTGTCGGCTTGGCGGTCGTTGAACCAGCTGCCGCTGTTCCCTCGTGTGGCTCAGGCGCTTGGACCGACAGCTGGCTACTGCTCGGAGATGTACAACCAAACTGTCCAACAGGCTGCCGAGAAAGGGTACAAGGTTGCTTCGCACCTTCCGCTCGTGCCTACCGAGAGGATTGCTAAGGTGCTTAGCACTTGAAAACGGTCGAGCCTGTGATTGCATACTGTGTTGACTAATGTGTGATCTGATGTTATTGTGTTGACTTTGGAACTGCACTATTTCTTTTCCTTGCAAAAAAAAAAAAAAGAACAAAGGATTGATGTTTTCCTTGTTTGGGCAGACAGATGAAATTGTCTTGGTTAAATATGAATTTTCTTTTATATTATATTGTCCTTCCGTGATGATTGCTTACTTTCTGTTTGAAACTGTTCACCCAAGTACCTCCCGTTGGAGAAGGTTGTGCAGTAAAATCCATTTTAGAACCCTGAATGAAAGTCCCCGTTCTCGTGTTTTTTCTGGAAATTTTAGGTTAAATTATTGTCGTAGACACTGAATCGAACCGCCTGGGCACGGTAAGGGTGAGCTAAATGGTATTTGGGCCAGGTGGGTTTAGATTTTTAGAATCGGGTGGTTTTGGGTTGAGTAACATTGGGTTGAGTAATGGGTCTTATATGAACTGATCCAGAATCGAACCTTGTAGGCCATCTTTTGAACCTTGTAGGCCATCTTTTAATCTCTTACAAATCTTTCAATATATGCCTTCTTTTCACCATCTTGCTCTGCCTTCTTTTCACCATCTTGCTCTCCGAAATTTCATCTATCGTAATTCATATCTTCCAACTTTAATAATTGTAGTGATTAAATATAATTGATGATGTCTTTGTATTATTCGCTTCATCTAACTTTAGGCAATGATTTAAAAATCGGACCGTAGCAGCCAGTTCGACTGGGTTAAACCGCGAACTGGCCAGGTTAACGGTCCGATCTGACAAACAAACACGGAAATGCGACGAAACCGGGTCCTTCTCTGAAGTTTATAGGGCTTGAGTGGGCGATGGCGGTGGATAGTGGTGATGGTATGTGTTACAGGGGTTAAATTGCACACGAAAATTCCACTATACGGCCTGATTTACGCACTAAATCAGTTAGCCTTCTCAGCAATTCTTGGCAAACACATACTAAATCAGTTAGCCTTCTCAGCAATTCTTGGCAAAGACATATGGCACCATCGTTCTATCAAGTAAACAACAGTCACGAGTATGCGGAAAATAGAACAAAACAAGCAATTTACGAGCAAAGCCCAACCATTGTTACTCAACTCACGAATAATACAAGGAAGCCCAAGGCACACAATGAATCCCTCATCACAGATGCTAACAAGTGCAATTTGAGTCCCTCTTTATGAACGGGTGCACTCATGGGCAGATAAATACAAGGTACAGCAGTTTACACACTAAACTGTCAAGGGACACATGGCGACACGCGGACTAACTGTTACAACATTAAAGCGACATTTTCTAAGTATTTGCTGGTGACAACCGTTCCGCTACATCCTTTTGTACTTTTGTAATTGCCTTTGTCAAGTCAGCCGCCCAATTTGCCTTGCCGGTGCGCACGCCTAACGGTCGAAGCTGCCCGCGCGCCTGGTAGTCGGCTTGCATGCCTTAAAGCCTATGCTTGGCTTTCGAGACTGCCGAGACTTGCCCGTGCCAGCCAACAAGTCTTGCCATGTCTTTCTCAGCCAGCCCATGCCGACACTCGAAGAACCATTGCCTTGCTTTTCTCGGCCAAGCAACCCAATGCTTGCCAATCACTCGGCCACACTCGTCTTGTGCCAACATCTCTTGGCACCCTTTCGACTATGACTCGACCACACTCGAGCCATAACCGAAACCTCCGTCTGATGGGGTAACATACCTCCTCCACCAGTGGTGTTCGACGCCCTCGTCGAACTGTTCACCCGTTTCAAACTCTTCCAATACTACGCCAACTCATCTTCAAACTGCCACAAATTTGCAGCATCTTCAACGTAATAACATTATTGTTCTCAATTGTAATATTACTGTGGTTGACAGTAAAATTACTATAAACACAATAAGATTACTGTCAACCACATTAATATTATTATTTTGGTTTTTTTTATTTTGTTTGATTTTTTGACCAGTCAACGTAATAAATTACTATCTTCTATTGTAATATTACTGTGGTTGACAGTTAATTTATCGTAAATAAAACAATATTACTGTGGTTGATATTATTGTCGTTATTGTAATATTACAATCAACGACATCAATATTACTATCAACCACAACAATAATATTTTTTTTGGTTTTTATTATATTTGTCTTTGTTGACCGGTCAACATAATATTACTGTATTATACAATAATTAATTATGTAACATAGTGATCTTGTTGTGTTAATATAAGTGTGCTAGATAGTACCACTGTGCTAAACAGTAATATAATTAATATTACTTTTAACCACAATACTATTACTATATTTTTACGGGGCCCAATTCAGAAAAAAAAACAGTCAACAACGCCAAAGACCGGCGTTGACAGCCAGTCAGCGACTGGCGGCAGCAGTAGAAAAAAAAAAGAGTCGAAAGAAAGAAAGAAAAAAAGTGTCAACATCATAGAATGGTGATTAACAACAGCTAACAAGCGACAATGGTCAAAATTGGAGTTAAGAATTGATTTATGGGTCAAAATTGAATAATTGGTGAAATTTGGGGTCAAATTGAAGTTATATTGAGTTAAAATGATGAAATTGAAGCATATTATAATGTGAGATTGTATTTTAATTTTTTACACATCTCTGGACTTTGTATGGACTGTTTTCTAAAAGAGTTTTTGGTTTGGATATCCTTATGAACAAGTAGTCCATGATAGACTTATTTGTACTAGCCGCATAATATTACTGTCAACCACAATAGTATTACTGTAACGATAATATTACTATCAACTACAATAATATTATTGTGTTTACAGTAATATTACTGTAGTAGACAGTAATATTATTACGTTAATCGGTCAACAAATCAAACAAAATAAAAAAGTAAACAAAAAATAATATTGATGTGGTTGACAGTAATATTATTGTGTTTACAATCATTTTACCGTCAACGATCATGCCCCAATATATATATTAATTTCGACTCTGCTACATCCCGACGTAAATTAAGTTTTACTTTTTAGGGAATATGATCATATCATGAGGTTTTTTACCTTTGTTTGTTGTTGCATGAAATATTGAGGTGCAAGGATGACCAAGGCAAAAATTTCATAAAAAACTCATGCATATTAAAAACGTTTTGAAGGATTATAATTGGAGCATTTTTTGGGATGTCGGGAAGAAACTTAAGGAAACGCAAAAGTTGGTGAACGAGTTAGAGACACAACTTGAAACTAGTTGGAATAGTGTTACCAATGATGTGTTGCTCATGAACTCTTCCAGTTTGAAAGAATTTATGGTCCCGAATTCGTTTAATACAGAGGTGTTATCTTAAGTGTTATGACACTTGAACAAACATGCAGCGGAAATATAAAGATAAAATAACAATACTCAGAATTAAAAATGTTCACAAGTAAAGACTTGTGAACTTGCCCTTTACAGGACGGAAAAATATATTAAAATCAGTATTCCAAGAATACAAACAGAAGAGGTGCGAAAACTTCTTCCTTATGAATGAATCATTCTCATGATCATTCTTACATTCAAATCTAGATACAAAAAGAAAAATAGTAAAAATTCTAGATTTCAAAGATGTACTCGTGAGGAGTACGTAAAGAACTTATGAATGAATCACTATCTTGATCATTCTTACAACCAAATCTAGAAACATATATACTATACAATCTAGACTACAAAGAATGTACTTATGATAAGTACGTAAAGAATGTACTCATGAGGAGTACGTAAAGAATGTACTCATAAGGAGTACGTAAAGATTGTACTCATGAGGAGTACAAACGCCCGATTCTAAAACCACTCTAAAACACTCATGTATTCTTTTCAGCTCTCGGTTTTTTTATTTCGTAGAATCGATAAAAAACATTGAGTATTGAAATCGGTATTTATAGACATTTCAAGCTTCCACTCCTCAGCCCATGATCTGCAAGAAAACCAACCACAAGAGCACTCAAGAAAATGGGTTAGTGGGTTAGTTAGGAAGTTAGAATAAAATCCACAATTAAATCCACTAAGCACTACTTAGCCCACTAAGCACTATACTTAACCCACTAAGCACTATACTTAACCCACTAAGCACTACTTATTCCATAACTAAAATTTAGTTTAAAAAATAAGAAAGTTAAAAACATAATGTGGAAATAATCCACGTGTTTCACAGTTGATAACTGGATTACAGAGAAATGAATAACTATTTTCTCGAGGAGCTTGGGCTGCCGTAAAAAACAACAAGCGGACATCGAACATTTGTTTTTACAATCGGAAATGGCTCGGGGAGTGGAATTATTTTGCAAGAAATTTTCATCTCCCGTCAAACAGGGCTTGGCAATTTGGACAAATAGGTTCTCTCAACATTCTCATATGATATGTGTCGAGTGGGAGTGTTTTTTTTTTTTTCGTGTTTTGGGAAATACGGGTTTCTCTATGTAAAGCTATTTATGAAGAGGTTTCAATGAGTCCAGAAAATACAATAAAAATTGCTATCTATCATTCAACGTTACATACTTGAAATATTGGGATTGAGGGTAAAGTTGATCAAGTGTATGGATATTGTTATGTTTGGACCCTCCTAATGTTGATTCTTACAAGTTAAATACCGATGGCTCTTGCAATTGTTCGCGATGGCCTCACATTGTGCAAACAAATTGATATTCAAGGGGTGCAGGTGGAGTGTGACTCGGAGATGGTAACTCTGTTGAATATTTTGTGAAAATATGTGAACAAGATTAACAAGCAAAAATAACTGAGTACTACATATCTCATTTTTCATGTTTTACTCTTTCTAATTAAACTGGTTTAATTATAAGTACAAAATCCACATCTATTTATGCTAGTCTAGGCATAAGCAGTACATGTATTACATTAAATAAGGTTCAGCATAAATACTAGACATGCATATATCTAACTATTCATATATTTGTCTATTCATTTATCCTATACATTGTACATACATTTGGATCATTCTAGAAAGTGCAATATATGTCAACACCCCTTCTTAATATGCTTTCTTCATCAGCTTCAAGATCCTTCTAGAATATGCAGTCTTATTCTTCTTCTGGAAATTGACTAGCAAAAAACAAATACTCTTTGTTTGCTTAAGAGTAATTTGCATGATGTTGTTTTCCTTTGGATCTCTCCAAATGCCCAAACTTTTTAAGTGTTTGTGCATTGGGGTTTGCTTTTGTGGTAGCCATCATTCTCCATGTGTTTTGACAATATTTCACAAATACCACATGGGGATATATTTTTGTACTTCTCTTGATGAAAGATTCTTCACTCTTTATACTCAATCTCTGCTCAATTTTTTTAACGGCAATATGGAAAAATGTTGAGGGATTCCGAAACTTGCCATTGAAATCTCTTTTTTTTTATTGATTCACGAGATACGTGTTCCCTTTAAAAAAAATTCTTTAGATCATATAAATGCGAGATAAACTGATTCAACGTGGTTCTTTTTTTTTTTGGAATTGTTTTGACATGATTTGCTTTCCTTTTTTTTTTCTTGGATCTATTTTTGAAAGGATTCATATTCCCTCTTTTTTTTTTTTTTTTTTTTTTTTTGTTTTTAACGCCTAGTTAATTGTGATCAACTGGGCTCTGATACCACTTGTTGGATATTATGCGGAAACATGTGAGCAAGGTTAACAAACAAATATTTAAGGAGTACGTATCTCCTTCTTCATATTTTACTCGGGATAAACTTGTTGAATTACAAGTACAAACTCCACACTTATTTATCCTAATGTAGGCATATATAGTACATGTATCACATTCAATAAGGTTCGTCATGAATACTAGCTGTACATGTATCTAAATTCTAAGTATTCATGTATTTGTCATTTCATTTATCCTTTACACTGTACATGCATTTGGATCATTGTAGAAAGTGCATTATATTTCAACAAACTCATGCTATAAACATAAACGAGAATGGGGATTGGAGATATGAATACTTGTTACAAGAATATTTTTAATATAAAGAGAATCATGATATCGGTCACATTGTTTGGCAAACGAACAATGCAACAGATCCACTATCAAAATGGGCACATAGTCATGGAGTACGTCAAGAATTTTATCGAGAAAGCGATCTTCCGACGAAGTGGCAATGGCAATTAAACTCAACAAGGAGAAGTTTTATTTCTTTAGGCCTTAGGATATAGGCAAAGTTTCTAACTTCCTTCCTGTCAGGAAGATCTTGGATCGGATACGTGGTGGGTTTTGAAGCGGGGGAATGATAATGGCGGAAGATCTCTTGCAAATGGAACATGGTCATTACATGGAGAATCAATTCTCGAGAAGGGGATTACAGAATACCGTCCATAGTTTTATGCATCAAACTAGCACACCAATAGATATGGTTCTTTTATGTTTTGGATTTGTAGTTTTTGTGGCCTTTTTAGCAGTAGACATAGAGTTAGGAATTTTGGTTCCCTTGATTTTATTGTTACTTTATAGGGGTACTTTTTTCCTTGTGTTGTCCCACAAAGTTTTTAACGAGCCCCCCTTGTAATTTCATTTTTTTAATGGATAGAAATATTCTGGTAAAAAAAAAAAAAAAAAAAAGATGCCTTGCTCACAACTAAACGGGGATTTTTGCAAATTGAATCATGGGATATGGATTCCTTAAGTAAGAAAGCTCTTTTGAAAGGGATGACGGATGGCGACCGAAATTCGGCTATTTTTCATTCCTCTAAAAAGGTTAGCGGGAAACAAAAGACACATTGCGACTTACGCAAGCAAACGGTTTGATAAACAAAAACCATATGCAGGGCCTCTATCGCAACAAGTTATTTGAAGGCGTCCCTCAAGTTATTAATGATTTGATTAGAGCTTCATTATGCAAAATTCCTATGAAATATGAGATTTTGGAAGCCATAACAAAACTCAAATCTAAAGAGCACCCCGGGTGGCAATGAATTCACTAACTATTTCTATACGAGGTGTTGGGACATTATAAAAGACAATCTCAATCTATCTATTTCTGATTATTTTAAAGCGGCTCATATAACGAGGGAAATCGCTCAACTAATTGGGTGCTTATTCCGAAAATGGAGGATACTAAAAAAATCCTTGCATCAAGAAAATAAGAGTTGTTAGGAAAAAAAAATCCGGAGAAATAATCTTGAAAATCATTGCATCAAGATTGTCCAAAATCTTACCTACGATTATTGATGAGCAGCATACGGGGTTTATTAACATCTCATGTTGTCTAAGCTCAAGATTTTGTCAGCGCTATCAACAAGAATGTTAATGGCGGTAATGTAACTTTCAAGGTTGACATGGAAAAAGCGACTGTTTGGCTATGTAGCACGGATACGGATACGCGGATACCGCGATACGTGGATACGGACACCGCGATACGGCATTTTCAAAAAAGTAGGATACGGACACCGGGGTGGATACGCGTAACTCTTACCAATATAGGGGTATATGTGTACCTCTTACCAAATATATATATATATATATATATATATATATATATATATATATATATATATATATATATATATATATATATATATATATATATATATATATATATATATATATATATATATATATATTTATGAAGAAATTATAACAGAAGCAAATCAACATAAGCAAAATCAATCTGTATGAATTCCTCCTACAGGAGGAAACAATAACAGTTTAATATTCAAAAAGTAAACAAACAAATAATTAATTAATCAATAAACAACAATAAAACATTAAACAATTCAAAATCTAAAATCCAAAAGATAAATTTCAACATTCAAATACTTATTTCGAGTACTTAAAAAAACAATACTTAATTCGAGTCTTAATTAAAAAAAAAAAACATAATAAAATTAAATAAGCACCTTCCATCAAATTCAAGTCTCCACGTCTTCGGCAAAAATTACACCCTCCAATTCGGGTTCATCCAATGAAAGTTGAGCAATATCCAAAACTCCTTGAGCAATATCAAGAACTTCTTCATCTTCTATATTGCCAAAATCATCTCCACCCACATCCCACATTTTTGTCTTATCATCATAGTATTGAACACTACTTCTAGACAAAAGACGAAGATTGGTATGAATGAAGACCAAATCCTCCGCACGTTTAGGATTTAACTTATTCCTTCTAAATGAATGAACGAAGGAATAAGTACTCCAATTCCTCTCGGAACAAGATGAAGAACTAGGTTGTCCAAGCACTTTGAAAGCTAACTTTTGAAGTAAAGGAGCACTCGAACCATAACATGCCCACCATTTCCTAGGCTCAACATCATATCTACTTACAATCGAATCCGGATCTCCAAATGGCCCAGTCTTGAGAGAGAAATTTGCAAATTCATCAATTGCATTCGTACGCTCCTCTATACCTGGAAAAAATCTTCTAAAACATTTGATTCTTTCGGATGAAACTTCCCCATCCATATGAGGAGCCAATCTACCTTGTCCCTCTAAAAGCCATTTTTCACTGTAATACCTTCAAGAGAAAAAAAAAAAAAGAAAAAAAGAAAAAAAAAAAAACAACAAAGAGTAAAAAATAAGTAAAAAAATAAATTAATAAATAGTAGAATAACACTTAAGGAACAAATATAATTAATTAAAAACTTATTTCGGGTTTAGAGAGTGAGCCAAACAATGAAGAGGAGTATTGTTTTTGGCCCATCGGTCAACTAGAATTTGTTGGATCACATCAAAGAAAGCAGAAAATCCATACATCGATTTTTTCTCATGGTCATAAATAACTTTCTTCACCTTTTCAATCATAGCATCCCACATCTCATAAACCAAATGAAGGCATGGCTTATCCGTGTCACAAACTCTAATCATCTCATATATAGGTTCAGTGAAGGCTAGAATATATGAAACTTTTTCCCACCATTCTTCACTCAACACTGTGTCCCTGACAAATTTTGCTTTGCTTTGATTATCTTCTCGGTATGATGTACATTGGTTACACGTCACTAATAGCTGTAAAGCACGTTTGATAAGCATAAATCTTGTAAGCATGACAACAATAGACGCAAATCGAGTGTCGGCAACTGAAAGCAATTTTAAATGGGCAAATCGTTTGTACATAGCCAATATCATCGCATGATTCATGATAAAATTTTTGACTTGCACAGCATCCTCATGAACAATGGTGATCCAACTACACAAATCATATGTCTCTAGATTGGATTCCACATTTTTAGCCGAACAAATATTCTTCAAAGCTAGATTCAGAGTGTGAACAACACAAGGAGTCCAAAAAATATGAGGATACCAACCTTCAATGAGTTCACCAGCAGCCTTACAATTGCTCGCATTGTCAGTGATGATTTGGACCACTTTTTGATGCCCCACCTCATCGATAGTTTTTTTCAGTAAACTCGCGATAAATTTTTTATCTTTTACTTCACCAGAACAATCAACAGCCTTGATAAACATCGGCCCACAGTCAGAAACAACCATAACATTAATCAACGGCCTTCTTTGTGGGTCACTCCAACCATCACTCACGATGCTAACCCCTTTCTCTGACCATGTGCTCTTGATCGGCTCTAACAATCTCTCGACATGCGTTTTTTCTTGTTCGAGCAATGTGGTTCTCAATTTGTTATAACCAGGAGGAAGATAACCAGGTATCGAGTGGTTACAAGCAAATAAAAAAGCACTAACATAATAAGGATTCCTTGCAAAATTAAAAGGCAAACCTGCAGTATAAAACATTCTGGCAATCTCTGCATCCAATTGATTCCTAACATTAGCATCAAAAGCTTCAGCAATAGGATTATCACGATCGCCGGCTTTTTGCCTTTTCAAAACATTAAAAGTATTTTGTTCACTTCTACCACCAGACAACGAACTCATGATGGTTGTATTTCCGGTAGTAGGCAAAGACACATTTTTAGGTTGTGAATTCATGGCTATTTGTGTCGCCGCTTCTTCTAATTTTTTCATTTCGGTGATACTTTCTCTACTCACTTTTTTGCAAGAAGTAATCCCTTTATTACTTATTTGGAATAGGTGAGCCCTAACTCTAGTGTAGCTCCCTACTTTTTCTTCATTACAGAAAGTACACAACCATCTACAATTACCACCGGCACCTTCCCCCGCTTTACCAAGTTTAATCACATATTTCCACAAAGGATGGAGATCGTTATCCTTAGTTTTTGTAGTCGCCGATGTAGAATTAACACTACTACCGGTAGATTGAGAATCCATATTACGATAATCTGTAATCAGTCAATGAAAATTCACCTTCACCGTCGAAGCACCCACTCGATGTTGCCGCGCTAGTTGATTACTTGATTTTATTAGGGTTAGTTTTTTGTTCAATGGAATAGGGCATATAGAAATCGAATTATTAAGTATTCTAAGATTTTATGTGTTTTTTTCTTTCTATTGTTTTTTGTTTTAATTAGAAAATAAAATAAAATAAAATATATGATATAGTGAAAGATTCCTAATAAAATGAAAAGTAATTATGGAAAAAAAAGAAAAAAAAGAAGAAAAAGAACGTGTAAAGAAGTAGTGTCCAAGTTGGGAAGTGTCCATTTTTTTTTTTTTTGCAAAACCGCCCGACACCCCACCCCAATACTTTATGGAAATTCGGATACGGCCCGACACCGTGTCCGAGCCGTGTCCGGGCGAGTCCGCACGAGTCGGGTGTCCGATACGCGGATTCTCCTAGTGTTTGGCGAGTCCGTGCATCCTAGCCGTTTGGAATGGTCTTTCTTCGAGTGTTGCGGGCATTTGGCTTTCCTCGCTTTTCTTGTGATCTAATTTGTAGAAATATTTGGTACTCATTTTGGATCAGTGATGAGCGAGTTGGGCAATTTCAATCATTCAAGGGGTCCGACAAGGGAACCCTTTATCTACGATGTTGTTTATTATTGCCCAAAAAATACTCTCTATAAACCTAAACAAGCAAATTGCAACCAAGAAGATAAAAGAATATAAGGTCACTCAAAGTGCCATGTCTTTATCACACATCTTTTACGCAGATGATATCTTGCTTTTCACCAATGGTTCTGATGCATAAATCAAACTTCTTATGATTCTCCCTCTGGCACTTTGAGTGGAATCCAAAGGTGCTAGCACTAAAAGCCTTAAACAAGTGATTAAGAAACTTCAAAAATTAATGGTTCTTTTTATTTGGAGTTCCAAAGGTGACTCTCGTCTTCATTGGGTTAAATGGAAAATCATTCGTCTTTCTGAGGATGAAGGAGGCTTGGTGTACCTATCTTGAATCAAGTAACGTCCACTCTTCATGCAAAAATTATGTGGGATGTTTTGATTAGTGAATATTTGTGGGCGAGATGTGCCGCGACAAAATATTTTAAGGATAAAATTTTGCTTCCAACAAGTAACTTGGGGTCCCCGATGGGGCGGTCGATTGCTTCTCATGCTGTATCTCTATCAAATATTCCAAAGGGGAAATTGGCTAGAGGCCCTATTTCTTGAAGTTATATGGGTGGAGATCCTATTTACTAGATCAATATAGACTTAGGTCCTATCACCCCAAAAAAATAATATAAAATAAATAAAACTAATTATACATTGACATGAGTACCCCTAGTGTCTATTCACGTTAGTAATGTGAGAAAATAAATCTCACAAATCTCTCTCTCTCTCTCTCTCTCTCTCTCTCTCTCTCTCTCTCTCTCTCTCTCTCTCTCTCTCTCTCTCTCTTCTTTGTCCTCTCTGCCATCTATGTTCTCTATTGGCTCGAAAATAACAATTATTAGCTATGGAGATTTCAAAACTGCAAACTAAGATTTCGAAACTGCAATCTGCGAACGATTCTTAGCTATGACAGGGCAGTGGTGAAGCAGTCGCAAACGAAGATTTCAAAACTGCAACCTGCAAACAATTCTTAGCTATGGGATGGAGGGCAAGTGCTAAACAATTGCAAACTGAGATTTTCAAAATGGCAAATTCAACTGCGAACGATTCATAGGCCATAGCAGGTCATGAGCAAATCATGCAAGCGGAGATTTCAAAACTGCAAACTCCTAGCGATTCTTAGCTATGGCAAGGCAAGTGCTAAGCAATTGCAAACAAAGATTTCAAAACTGCATACTGCGAACGATTCTTAGCTATGACAAGATAGGACGAAGCAATTTTTATCTAGGGTTTTGTTTTTCTGAAATCGATTAAAGGTTTGGGAATGGGGAATACGATGATTGATTACATATCTTTTTGGGGAGAAAAATGGGGATTAAAGGTTATACAAAGTAGGCTGTTTGTTTGGGGATTTTTATTTCCATATATTGTTAGGGGTATTTTTGACATAATAATACCAATATATTTACTGAAAATTAAGAGTTATTAGTTGGATTATAAACATAAAGTCTCTTACATGATGACCTCTAGCAAATTGCCCCTATTTTGAAATGTTAAATTTTGGAAAGATAACTAATTGTCTTGAAAGAGTTCTATATGGTCCATTGCCCTACGACGAGAACCTTACAGTAGCGGAAGCTTACGACAATATTTATCATATTTTGCCTCTCATGATTGACAAGGACTTTTATGGTCAAATCCGTCTCATTGCACTCTTAATTCACGCGGAGTTTTTCCATCATTGGTTACATACACGAGTTCAAGGAGGAAACTTTCATGGCCCCGACATATTTGGCATTCAGGCATCTGTTTTAAGCATGCAACATTTATTTGGTTCATTTTTCATAGGGACATATTTGTTGATCTTAGAATATCGGAGAAAGGACATATAGTATCTCGTTGTTGTTAAATGTGTAGAATACACACTTATTAGCCTCCAATTAATCTAAGAATTGAACAATTGACAATCACGTTTGTGTCGTTTTTATTGTATTTTTTAGGTTTTATTGAATTTTCAGTTAATTTTTTGGATGCCCTTAGGTTTTCTTGGTGAACTTCGGCCGTTTTTCAATTCTTGCTCGATTTTTATCCATTTCGCCCTACTACCATCCCATTTCCAACTTACATCTAAATACATAGCCCAAGTCACTAAGTTCCTATATTGGATAAAATCTAACAAAAATTCTAGTATAAGAATACAATTTGAGTGTAAAATCTACACTCAACACACTTGCTACAAAAGGCTTAGGAAATGGGCATGTCTGGTGAAGGGACTTCGTAAACTATCTAACTTTGTAGCTATAGAGATATGTTTCTAGCACCATATAGACGTGTTAGGTATAATTTACAAGAATTTGAAAGTGGTCGCATGGTGACCCAAAATTATGAAGAATACTTCAACTTGAAATATGCCAAAGCGCGTAATGTCATTGAGCGAGTATTTGGAATATTAAAGTCTCAATGGAGCATACTTACAAATCTCGCGTACTATCCAATTAAAATGAAAAATTAGATAATTATGGCTTGTAGTCTTTTGCACAATTTCGTCCACACCTATGGTGACTACAACCCGGAAGAAGAAGTTCCCCAAGATGACATTTGCAACGCACTTGACCCTAATCACTACACATAAGTTGTTGAAGCATCAAATGAATGGACTTTATTTCGGGATAATTTAGCTCTAACCATGTATAATTAAGGCTTGCAAACCGTAAATTAATTTTCCCAACAATATTTATTTAATTTGAATGGGTGTCCTTGCATTATTTCACTGGAGATTGTGTTAATTTGTAGCAAATATGTATGTACTTTGTTTTCCTATTATTGGCATTTGAATTATGTATTTTATGTTCGTTGCATTTTTTTTTAAATCTAATATTCTTTTTGTATCTTTAATGTTATGTTTGTCATAAGACTTTACATATTATTTGTACGGGTAATATACAATCAACTTGTATTTCTCAAAAGTTTGGGAAGAATAAGACAAAACAAAAAATTACTAAGAGGAGTTGGTTTTTGAGAGAAGAACAAGCTCTCAATTATGCACTAAAAGAGATTGTGTCCCTTGGTTGGAAGTGCGACAGCGGCTTCAAAACTAGGTACCTTGCGGTTTTGGAACAACAACTGTGTCACGCATTTCATATATGTGATATTAAAGTCGACCCACATATTATTTCTAAAATACATGTGTGGGAGAAACATTACGACGTGCTTGTCCACAATGCTCACTAGGTTGGGTTTCGATTGGAATGATACTTCTTCTACCATCGAAGTCATTGGTGACCAATCTTGGGACGAGTACGTTAAGGTAACTATACTAACCAAATCGCAATCTATTTAACACCTCCAAGTCCAAACCACGTTCATTATTTTTATTGTACTAAATACATTTTATTAACGATGTAGTCTGATACAAATGTTTGCAGGATGATATATAAGTCATGACCCTTTTACAAAGATTCGTCTTTAATATTTGGAAAGGATCGAACAATGATTGAAAACGCTGAAGCATTTGTTGATGCAGTGAATGATTTGGTCTTGCAAGACAAGGGCAAGAGTAATGTGCCTGCTTGTTTTGGTGGATATTTTGTTCAACGCTACAAATAACGATGCCGATTTTGCGTACACGTCAACTTCCCATAAGGAACAAAAGTAGACAGTAAGCCGACGGTTGTATAGTCAATTTGATGTATAAATTCTTCGACAAGGGCGAATCTCGTTTAGGTGAATTAGTGAAAATGATTGGTTTCGAACACAACGCCTCGGCTGATTAGAAAAAAGTATTTGACTCAGTTGTACCCATGATATTAAGCTAAATTGTTGTACATTTTTAACTTCAGTGGCTTTTCATTTGTGTAATATATATTTCCTATTAGGTGTATACAAGACATTAATCCAACGTGGTGTGTGTGTTATTTAGGTAGAACTCAGTCATATATGTTATTGTTATTTGGATAAGGCCCTTCTTATCACGTTGGCATATAAAAACTTTTTATTGTCAAACTACCATTATATTAGTGAATATAACAAGAGTTTTTTTGCAAGAACCACCCCTGTGTTATTTCTAATTGTCGAAAACCACATGTGATAAATTTATTAGCAAATACCCCCCTATAAAATTTAGTCAAGGTTACAAAACCCCCTGACAACTTTTCGTGTAGCACTCACGCAAATTATGCGAATGGTTGTGTATTTTACGAGTTGAAAAGTCAAAAATACCCTTAAATTCAATAAAGAACCGAACGACGTCGTTTTATATCTTCTCTTCCAATATAATGGGTTTTTGCCATCGTCTTCTTCCCCCAATTTCTTCTTAGTTCATTTTTTTCAATTCCAACAATTAGAGAAATAATATCTTTTCACACCTCAAGTAACGC